GCGCCGGCGGGGTAGAGGCCAGACACCCCGTGCCACGACTTCCGAAGCACTTGACCGTGAGAGGCGGTGGCGCCGGGGCCGCTGCCTCTGGAGAGGCAGCTCGGGGCGCCCGGAGGGAGCAGCCTGGGCCAGTGCCTGGCGGGCGGATTCGCACTCGCTTCCCCGGGAGGGACCCGCGCCCAGACGCCCCGTAGTCACTGTACTCCTCCTGCCCCGGGCACTGCCGCCTAAGGTGGCCCCGGAAAGCGCACGCGGGTAGGGCGGACCCGCCCCTAGCGCCGGCGCGGCCCCTCCCACGTGTTCCTTCCGGCTGATTTATTTCTCCACCGCGACGCCAGACATGGGCATCCTGTGCCAAGCCCGGTTTAGCGCCGGGCGTCCAAAATGCATGCCGTAGTTCCTGCGCAGCCAAAGTTCACGGCCTCGTGCCAGGGGCAGACAGCGCCCCTCTCCAACCCAACCCGGGCAGTGAGCGGGACGGGAGGCACGCGTCCTGAGGGCTCTCCTTTAGGGCACCTGAGAGGAGCCCTAAAGGCTGAGAGAGAACGAGAGAGCGGCTGGAGGGCCCCCGGGCGCAGGAGAGGTCCGGAAGGTCCTGGGGGCTGGCGATGGAGGCAACCCTTGGCCACGGAGGCGCAGAAAGAGGGGCAGACTTCACGTGTGACCCCAGCCTGCCTTTCCTGGCACACCTGTCGCCAGGAGCAGTGCGCTCTGCAGGACCGCCCGTGCAGGCAGCCGGTCCAGGCCCCCAACAGCTGTGCTGGGAGGTTCCCTCGCCCGCCTCCCCGAAGCTTGGCCTCCCTTCTTCTCAGAGCCGTAACCTCTCGGGGTCAGTGCCCAGGAGAGGAGGCGCCTGGAGGCGGCGGAGATGTTTATGTAACGGCAGCCGCAGCCTGGAGGAGCAGAGTTTCCATAGAAGGCAAGAGTGGGGCTGGGCAGTTCCCAGACTCTGCACACCATGTCCCCCTCTGCTCCAGGGAGGAGGACAGCGGCCCGAAGGCCTTGGGGGCTCGTTGGGGCTCCACCACCTGTGTGCTTCTATTGGCAGGTCTGCAGCCCTGGCTTGGAAGCAAGTTCTCAGCCTTCTGCCTGGGGAGGGGGAAGCCGGGACTGGAGTCTCCCCAGGTCTGCCCCAGGAGCCCGCAGCGGCCCTGGCCTCAGCCAGCGGGGAGGAGAGTGGCCCGCTGGGTGGCTGCCGTCAGCCCACCCAGAGCTGGGCACACAGGGCCCACGTTACAGATGTGGCACACAGGCTTGAGGGAGGCTCGGGCCTCCCACCCCTGCACCACCCGCCCTGGAGCGCCCCGTGGGCAGCTGGGCTGAGGACCGGCCTGGCAAGTGGGAGTGAAGCTTTTCCATTCACAAATTAGGCGGGAGATGTCTGGCCTCCCTGTTCCTTTTTACCAGGCCACAGGGGTTGCGGGGCGGGTTGGGGGTCCCGATGGCCCGGGGCCTGGGGACCTTCTCCCGTGGGTCGGGTGGGCAGCCCTGGGCAGTGGGCGCTGGGGGCCCTGAGCGGACCACGGGAGGGCGGGAATACTCGGACACACCAGCTGCTCTGGAGTCACCGTGGGAGAGTGAGGGCCGGGCCCCCAGGAAGCTGAATGAGGGGTGCAGCGCAGTGAGGCCTCTTCAGGGGAAAGTCACTTTGGCCTTCCTGTCCCAGCCTACGGTAGGAGCCAGGACAAGGTTCCCAGGGTACACCCCAGGGCGGGGTGGGCCACCAAATGACGGGGCTGCCCCCCACACACACTGGCCGGGGAACCTAGAAACAGGGGTGAGGCTGCAGGCCTAGTGTGCAGGTGGGAGGGTGAGAGGGTCCTGCGGCCAGTTCTCCAGGGGCCACCTGCAGGTGCTGATGGGGACAAGCCCCTTAGGCTCTGCGCCCCGGCCAAGCTGAATCTGGCCAGCTCCCCTCTGTCTTGCCTCTGGAGATACTGGGGTGCCCTGATGACTTTGACCCACCCCGGCCTCTCTTGTGGGGCCAATGCCAGCACTCCTAAGAGCAGAACACACCTCCACATAAATCAACTCCTAAGAGCAGAACACACCTCCACATAAATCAACAGGCAAGTGCTGCTGTTGGAGCTCTTGCTGTATACCCGGCCCCGGGCGTTGGGTGGCACCAGGACAGACATTGTCATGCCTCATGACAACCCAGGCGACCTTAAAACAGACGCGGTCCTTCTCCAACCCCAGGGAGACTTGGTCCGGGGGTGTGTGGAGGGCTCAGCGTGTTTAGAGCTCCCAGGAGAGTCCGAGCTGCAGCTGGGGCTTGGCCGCCCATCCTGGGCCACCGGCCCCTTTCCTTCCTGCGGCGTTCATCTCGGCATTTGCCCTCCCGTGGCCCGGCCCCACTGGGGGGCAGGTAGCATGATGCTCCCCATGTCTTAGGAGGGAAGTTGAGGCTCAGAGGTGTCGTGATGACACTGGCTCACGGCCAGACCGGGTGCCGGCCTTGGTCCTTGGCTGCTGTCGTCAACTAGGGCCTTTCTTCCCTGGGCTGGATCCAGACTGACCTTAGAGGGCTTCACCCACGCTCTGAGGGTGGAGAGGCGGGGTGCAGAGCAGCGGTCCCCAGCCTTTGGGCACCAGGGACTGGGGGAGATGGTGAGGGATGGGAGCAGCTGTACGTGCAGACGAAGCTTCACTCGCTCTCCGCCACTCACCTCCTGCTGTGCGGCCCAGTTCCCGACAGGCCATGGTCCAGCACCCGGGGTTTGGGGAACCAGGGTTTAGGGAACCCCAGGTGTACAGTCTGCCTCCCTTCCCCTCCCCCATGCAGAGCAGCTGTCTCCCGGGCCAGGTGTGCATGCAGCTGCCCGCACCTGCGAATGTGCTGGCTGCGGCCTCCTGCAGGTGCTGAGCATCTCCCCTGATGCTGGGCGCCCCAGTGGCTGGTGTCAGGTGACCTCCCTGGTCTGTCGTCCTCAGCCTTGTCCTCTGCTGAAGTGACCTCTCCCCATTTGTCCCTGAGCAACTCCTCAGCCTTGGCGTCCTCCGGGGCGCCATCCCATAGCCCCTCGGCCTCTTGCCCCAGACCTGACCACACGGACTGCTGACACTACGACCGTCTGTGGCCTCCAGGGCAGGGCCTGTCCCTGCTGGGTCCCAGTCCCCGCATGAGAGTCTCCGGAAGGTGTGCTGACTGACCCGTGTCCAAGAGATGCTGACGGAATGTGGGCGCAGGGCCGGCTTGGTGCACACCTGCTGGGTGGCTGCCTGGCCAGCACTTCTGCCAGGTGCCTGGTGGCCTCCTGGGGCCCAGCTGCAAGTACAGCAGCCCCAGTTGTGGCTGGGACTGTGCCCTGGGTACATCTGCTTGTCACCCCAGAGGTCCCCACTCAGGAGCCCATGCTGCACACAAAGCCGGGGCAGGAGAGCCAGCGTCCTGGAGATGCACGGAGGCCGGGGGTGTGTTGCCCGGGCAAGTCCCCAGACAGGCACCGGCCTCCTGGGCAGGTGAGCTGGTAAGGCCCGGCTGGTGTGGGCTGTGAGGGCTGCAGGACTGGCCACTGGGCAGACCCGGTGTGTCCGTCCAGAGACACCTGCGGGCTGGGCAGTGCAGTGCAGGCCACAGGTGGAGACTACCTGCCTGTCCCCTGGGGGCTCAGAGCTCTGACCCACCTGCCTGCTGCCTGTTGCTGGAGTCCCTGGACTGTTTCGAACATGCAGCCCAACTTTGGGCCCAGAAAAGACAGCAGATGGCCCTGGGCATGGTCTCCTGAGCCCTGAGACAGAGGGACCCCGCTCAGACATTTCCAGGTCCCAGGTGTCCCCAGCTGCCCACCGAGCCTGGGCTGAGCCGGGCCTGGGGCTGGGTCACTCGGGGCTCCATGGCCCACCTCTGCTGCTACCTGGGAGCCCAGGGAGACAGTGAAGGCAGTGCCCACGGGGGACCCCAGGTGTCATGTGGGTTGGGGTGCATGCACTGAGAAAGCTTCCAGACCTCCTGCAAAGGGGGCTCCATGGAGGGGGATGGGGGTGGGGGGAGGGGGCAGGGGGGCAGGAGGGCACTGGGCTCAGGAGCCCCTCCAGGCCAGGGCTGGGCCCTGCAGGGATGCTGTCCAGCGGCCCCTCTCATGGACGGGTGCTGTAGCTCTGAATAGGGCTGTGGGGCCTGGCCTGGCCCCGGGTCTGGGGTCTGCCCCCAACGCCCCATGCTCCCAAGATCCCCAACAGATGGGCCCCAGGGACCCCTGCGGAGCCTGTGGGAGAGGAGCTCCCTCCCTAACTGGCCCCCTGCCCGCAGCTCAGAACTTTCTCCAAAAAGAAAGGGCCCCGGGGGACGAAACTGCTCCGCCCCGCCCCTCGGGCTCAAACTCAGAGGGTTGAGTCATGGGAAGAGCTTAGCCAGGCTGAGTCCCAACTCCTCCCTCCTCCCTCCTCCCTGCTCTCCCTCCTCCCTCCTCTCCTTCCTTCCTTCCTACTCTTTTTCTCATCCTCCTCTCTCTTTCTCCCCTTCCTTCCTTCCTCCCTTCCTCTTCTCATCTTCTTTCTTTCCCTTTCTTCCTTTCTGGTGGTAAAAATAATTGGAAAGCTCCCCTTTCTAAACAAAAGATAAGTTCATTTTTATGTTTGTAGGGACCATATAAGCAAGTCCTCTGCCCCTGTAGGAATCCCCCACCAAGGAGCCCGGAGTCTGGCAGATAGAATCTTTGCCCCCGTCGGCACCCACCCTGTGCCCCGGGCCCCTCGTGGGGCTTGGGCTTCCTGAACCTCAGCATCCCCTGGCCTGGGCAAGAGTTTCCTCCCGTCTGCTCCAGACGCGTTTAAACATGTTCAGAACTTCCGTCCTCCCCCACGCTTCCCCACGGACCCCTCTGAGAACAGAGCCAGGCTGGAAGTGGGGGCTTGGGTTACGGAGCACACGGGAACTGTGCTCGCGAGCAGCACAGAGCGCAGGCGTTGGCAGGTACCGCACATCTGTGAGCTATTTTCGGGTCTCTGGGGAAGGGGAAAAAAAAACCCAACGATCCTTAAGTAAGACCAGAATTCTTCTATATTTTCCCTTTGACAGCTAGGGGAAAAAATCTGCCAAAAACCAGAGGCGCTGCTGAGTGTTGGCGTGGGAATGTTAGTTTAGTCGGAGACTCGCTCCGGGCCATTTAAATAAAAACAGGCGCGTTGGTGGCAATGCCCGGTGAACGTGCGAGAGCCACAGAGCTTCTGGGACAAGCAATGGGTCTGCAGCCGCCTGGCCCTCGCAAGAACCTTCTAGCATCAGCAGGGAGCAACGCCGGAGTCTTCAACGTGGCCGCGCTTCCCGGCTCGCAGAGCCGCCCGCCGCCTGTCCCCGAAGGACACTTCAGCCGCCGCAGGGTCTTTGCACAACATAAAGCAGACGCCGTACGCGGGTGGACGGGAGGGTAAAAATACTCGCTGTGACACCGGGCCGGCACCCTGCTGTTGGGTCGGGTTGCAGGTTCCCGGGGGGCTCCGGTGGCGAGGTGGGGGTGAGCGGGCCCCAGCCCCAGCCAGCAGACAGGGGACCGGGGCCACCACCCCTGCCTGCCCAGGGTGACAAGGGGACCCCCACTTGGGACCCGAATTCAGGGCCTGCCCCGGGGTGGAAGGGGCACTGAGTGCAGGACACCCGCCCGGCCAGCCTTGGTGGGGACACTCACTGCTGTGGCCTTCGGGGTCTGAAGGGCCTCATGGAATGTGCCAGTGTCTCCACTCTTTGGTCCCCACCTGTGGAAGGGAACGGGGGCCGGGCCGGGAAGGGTGTTGGGCCTGGGACTCTTCTTGTGAGGGCATTTGTGCGTGGGGGGAAGGGTCCTCCTCTGCCCCCACCCCTTGGTGACATTGGGCCAGCTGGGGAGTCCCTCGGGGGATGAGGCAGGGGTGGGGGGAGGTGGGACCCTGTAATGAATCTGACGCTGGCCACCGCCCCCTCTCCCTGGGGGGTCCTCACTCACAGAGGGGTCTGTCCTTTCTTCAGAGCATGGCTGTAATGACACCTGCTGCTCACTTAGAACCGCACGGGGGATGGGGGGCTCTGTGAAGCCCAGGTGGGAGAGGTGGGCCGGGGGCTTTGTCCCCCCCAAGGCTGGTCCCAGGGACCCTGACCGAGACAGAGGCAGCACTGGGCATGTCACACAGCCTGTTGTCACCGGTCCCTTCGTCTGTCTGCCCACCTGTTGGTCAGCAGTGACAGGCCAGGTGCCTGTGCTAACAGCCTTGGGCCCCACCTCTCCCATCATGGAGCCTGGACCCCAGCCCAGCTGCCCCAGCCTGGGCACAGACTAGGGAAAGAGACTGGTTAAGGCCGTTCTAGAGGGTAGAAGCCGGGAAGTGGCACCATCGTCTTAGGTTTTAAGGAGGCAGGTTTTAATGGAAGCAGGGCAGGGGGCAGGGAGGGTGCCCTGGTGGGGACAGGTGACAGGATCTCCCAGGAACTCAGGATCTATTTCTTGAGCCCTCCCCCTGCTGTGCAGGGTACAGGTGGGAGGAGGGAGATGGTGACCAGGTGCGTCCACAGGCCTGTCCTGGTGGGGGGCCGTGCGGGTTATGGGGTCAGGGAGGCAGGTGCTAGGCCTCGTCTTGGTGGGGTCCAGGCAGGAGGCTCCTCGAGCAGGTGACACGGGAGCAGAGATCTGAGGAAGTGAGAGGATGGCCACATAGGTGTCTAGGGAACGTTCTGGAAAAGCAGCTCCGAGCATGCTCTGTCTGCCGTCCTCACCTGCGCCTGGGTCTGTGTCTGCAGGGACCCACCAAAGGGCTGATGCAGCCAACGCTGCCTCGTGGTCCAGCCGGCCAGGGCCTGGCCCCCCCTTCCCAGGCCTGGGGGGGTGGATCCCGCCATCCAGCAGGGCAAACTGAGCCCAGCCCACACCCTCCCTCCCCCACCACCTGCCGGGAGAGCACCTGCCTAACCTCGGTGGGTCTTAGGGGTTGACGTGCACCCCCCTAGAGACGTGCTGGAGAGCTCCCCCACCCCCAGGACCTGCCAATGTGACCCGATTTGGAAATGGGCCTTTTGCAGGTGTGATCACGTCGAAAGGGAGTCGTACTGGATATGGGTGGGCCCCGATCCGATGACCGGTGTCCTCGGGAGAAGAGGGGAATTTGGACACAGGGAGGGGTTGTGGGAAGACGGGCGGACACTGGGGAGCTGCAGCCCCAGGCCGGGGAGCACCAAGGTGGGGCACAGGAGGGATCTTCCCTGGCAGCCTTCCGAGGGCGGCAGCACCCAGATTTTGGGCTTCTGGGCTCTAGGACTGAGAGAGCATGAATTTCTGCGGTTCGAAGCCACAAAGGTTATGTTATGTCCAGGAAATTAGCACTGAGGGTGAAGGCATTTTAACGCAGACAAAGGTAGTTTCTGAATTCGACCAGCTTTGCACAAGGCTGTCAGGGCACTGACCGGGGGAGCCAGCATCTCCCGGCCCCTGCCGGGCACCTGCCTCCACACACACCTGCCGGCACGTGGCTGCGGCTGCTCTCTCTCCAGGGGAGACGACGCAACCAGGGGCCGTGTTCACGTCTGTTCAGGTGCAGGGTGGAGCATGCACGGCCTGTGTCTGCCTGGACGAGTCTGCTTCAGGCTACAGACAGATCCTCTCGTCCTGTCGGGGCAAAAACTGCTCGAAGGTGACGGCACTGGAACTTGAATTAACACAGAAGAGACCATGGCACACGGCATCTTTGGGCCGCCGGAGTGTCCAGGTCTCCGAACCCAAGCCCAGTGCCCGGCCTTTCCAAGGAGAGGAACACACACAACACAACCAGAGGGGACTGGTTTGGGTTACAAACGTCCCAAGCTGGCTTCAAACCCAGAAACTAAACGCTGCCGGAGCCCCTGGGTGCAGCCACACCCGAAGCTGTTAGCACTCTGCCAGAGGTTTATTGGTTATAAGGCAACTGGTAGTTCATCTTCTCCTTTTGCCCCACAGCAGTCCCACTGGAGGCTAAGCAAGACCACTGGGAAACTGAGGCCAGGAGGGAAGGACGGCATTCAAGGCTACACGAGGGGTTGGGGGCAGAGCCAGGAGAGTCCAGGCTTCCGGGTCTCCTTCCTCAGACCCCTGCAGGAGCCCGATGGCTAGGCCAGCCGGCCGCCCGCCTGGCCGTCTGGTGCAGGAGTAACACAGTTCCTGAGCTCTCCTGAGCTGCATGGTCTGTGGTGAAGCCCCTACATACAGCTGGTGACCCCGGGGCCGGGACAGACCCTTGGCCCAAAGCCTGTCTGCACCTTCCTCCCGTAGCCACTGTGGCCCGGCCAGGGGCTGCCCCACTGGCTGCCTCTGGCCTGGAGCCCCCTCCCACCCAGGCCCAGCAGTGGGCACCCTCCCTCCAGCCCTGGACCCTCACTCAGCTGGTTCCCGCTCTGGCCAGGCCGCGGCTGCGGGGACAGCGTTGTCCCCGCTGGGAAGCACCTGACCTGAGGTTCTCCCACACGCCTGCCGCCTCGTCCTGGGGCCTGCAGGTGTTTCCGCACTTGGGCGCTCGGGGGGACCTCAGAGCCTCACAGCGGCGGGATCAGAGGCCCCCGGGGGCCCCGTGGCCAGGCCACAGGTTCTGTTTACTCTTCAAGGAAAGTTCCTGTCTTCCTTGGCTGGAGCCAGGCATCGGCGGGTCCCACTAGGTCCCCCGGACTCTGTGCCAGACCCTGTGCCGAGCCTGGGAGCTGGCCACAAACTTCAGTTACCAAGTTCGAGGAGGGGCTCGGTGTCCAGCCGGTGGGGGGGGACCAGGGAGATGGGTTGCACCTGCCTCTGTGTTGCTTCCCTGTTGCCTCAGGCGGGTCCATGTCTCCTGCCTCGACCCGCTCATCTGTCCAATGGGGCTGGGCTGGAACACCCAGGGGCAGAGCGGCAGTGGGGGAGGAGGTGGCTGAGCCCATGCCCCGGTGCTGGTGCCACAGCATAAGCCCTGCAGGTGGGACCCCTGCCCAGAGGGCTGTGGGCCACCCACTCACCCGATGGAGCCTGGACTGTGCCCTCCCCCTGGCCCGGCCCCACCACGGCCAAAGCGCCAGAGTGTGAGACGCCCGCAGGCCCAGGGCTCAGAGCTCCGGCAGCTCTCGGGAGGGCCCAGGGTGCCACAGCAGCTAGGACGTGGGGGCGGGAGGGCCTGGGTTGAAGGGCAGGACTGGGAGATGGGGCTGGGACTTCTGTCCTGGTGGGGACAGTGGCCAGCAGTGACCGAGCGTCAGCTGGGCTCCACTGTGCAAAGGGAAGCAGCCTTAGGCCAGGGCGGACGGGCCGAGCAGGGGAGTGTCCTCGGGGAGGGGGTGTCTGGGGGCCTGAGGGCAGGCGGCAGCTGCCAGCCTCACCCGGGAGGGCACCCAGCAGTCATGCTGGCACCGGAGTCCACAGCCAGCTGTCCCCACTTGGGAAGGTCTTGGGACCAGGTTCCCCGACCTCCTCCCTCGCCCGGGGGGAAGTCTACACTGCCTCCAAGAGCATCTCCTTTCCTTCCTGCTGTGGGAAGTCTTTTCCCAGCACGCCGCCGGGCCCAGCCGGAGAGCCAGACCTCCTGGGGTGGGAAGCGGGCTGCAGGGGGCCATCCCCACCTCACCGACAGGGGAAGGCAAATCTGCACTCACCAGCTTTGTCACCCGGGCTGTCACCTCGCCTTCTGGGCCTTACTTTTCTCCTCTGAAAAACGGAGATATTTCTTCCTGCTCCATGCACCTCTGGGCCCAGGATTGAAAAGGACAACGTGGGGTGAACCTTCTGGGCAAATATAACAATAAAGAGATTGTACTGTTGTAACCAGTCTGTCTGCACTGCCCAGGACCACAGACCACCAGGCTGGAAGCTGGGTGGGACACATGGTAATTCACAAAGCAAGACAGCACTTTACAGTTTGTTTGTGGTTCCCTGCAGCACCCTGGCCCTGAGACGCTGAGCCGACCCTCTTCAACCCCATCCCCCTGCCTGGGCTTGTCCTGGAGTTTGGAACGGGGCCCAGGTGGGGATGGGCTGTCACCAGCCTGCCCCCAAAACGAAACCAACTGCTTGGAAACTGTTTATCAGGATGGGGTTGGGTTGGTGGGTTTGCGTGCGGCCCGCAGGCTCCCAGACACCTCGTTGGGATTCCCACTTGAGCATTCACTGGAGACTCCCAGGCCTTGGGCAGGTGGAGGGCTGGCGGGAGGGGGCCCCTCCTTCGCTGGGTGGGGCCGGGGGACAGCTTCCTGCAGGAGGAGTGGCTGGAGAAGCCTGGTCTCGGGCAGCTGCCGGGGCAGGGTCAGACCTGGCTGTGGGCCTCAGACCCCCCCCACCCGACCAGCCCAGCTGCCCCCCAAGCTCAGGACCTGCTGGCGGGGTGCGGCCGAAAATAGAATGGAACAGCTGGCCCAGCCAGACCAGGTCAGGGCCAGCCCTGGGGTTCAGTAAACAGGAAGGTCCCTGGGGGGCTGGAGCTGCTACACGAAAGGAAAGGGCTGGGTCAAAGGGCTTCACAAAATGTTTAAAATCAGCAGGAAATGGTGACTTCTTAATGTCTGAGTCCACCGGCCGTGCTGAGCCAGCTCTCAGGCGGGCGATGCCGCCACTGGGCCCGTGTGTGGATTTCAGGGGAGCCCACGGTGTGGCTGCAGGTGGGGCCCGCTCGGCAGCCCCCCCATGAAGCTGCTCTCCCTGGCCGGCTCCCGAGGCCCTCTGTGGCCGGGACCCTTGGGGCAGGCCCCATCTGTGGAGAGGGGCCTGCCACCCCTGCCCCCCACGCACCCCCAGTATGCCTCGCTCCCTGCAAGGCCCCCCAGCGTGTGCCGTGACCGGGGCAGGCCTGCCCAGCCTCCCTGGCGGGAGTCACGCGTGGACACTGAGGCCTGGCTTGCATGGGCTGGCCCCGGGTCGCCCTGGGGTCAGTGCCGGGTCCCTGCCCCCGACGAGAGCCTCTTCGCCCGTGGAACCCCGTGACGAGGTGCCAGGGGCCTTCTGAATCCCCCCCCCAAATGTAAATCTGGCCTCGTGCATCTCATGGGGGGACATGCCTCGAAATCGGGCAAGCCACGCAGCGTAGTACCCTAGCACCACCATCCTGGGGACTCCGGAGCGAGCCCAGACGCAGGCAGGTCTCCATGGGGGAAGGTCCCCGCTCCCCAGAGTGGCCCGGCAGCGCAGTCCCTTCTTTACCCAGACGCCCCAGGTTCATTCTGACAACCAGTGTGGCGAGAGGCTCGAGACATTCACACCTTCAACCTGGCGGTCATGCCGGGCAAGGACGCCAAGCCCAGAAAACCTGCGCGGGACTCCCCGGGCCCACACCACTTGTACCCGGGGGGAATCTGGCGCCGACCAGAAAACCGCCGCTCGCCTGTCTGATCGAGTGATGTGCGTGGCTGCGTCCCGAGGGAAGTCCGAGCACCACGTGGGAAATGCCTGTTACGTGATGGGCCGGGGAGAGGCGGGCGCGGCCGGGCGGGCAGCGGGCCCCAGCCCGCAAAGCCAGCCGGAGCTGCGAAGGCGGCACGCAGGGGGCGGGGGGCAGGAAGCCCCCCTGGCGCCCACCTGGCCGGGCCCCGTGGGAAACAGCGGTTTGGGTCTCTGCCACCTTCTGCTCAGCTCTGTCCCTGTGGCGCTCCACGGCGGAGCCTGTTGCACAAAACCGACATGATTTATGGGCCCGGTCTTCACCCCAACTCAGAGGCCTCCGCTGGGGGCCACAGAGGTCGGGGCTCCGAGGCCCTTCTCCAGGTCGCTGAGCGGGCTGGAAGGAGTGGGCGACAGGGGAGGGCCCGTTCCCACTGCCCGGCAGGCAGAGAAGCCCCTGGGACCTGCCCGGCCGCCCCAGCGTGGTTTCCAGGTCCCAGGCTGCTGCTGGGATGCACGGAGTGAGACGGGCGCTGGGTCTCAGCCCCGAAAAAAAGAAGAGTCAGGGAACCCCTGGGAGTCCCAAGGCCCCTCCCTCCCTGTCCCCCAAACCTCTACACCTCCCAGGTCTGCCTGTGGGTTCCCCTACCGCTCCCCGCCCACTGCAAGGCCTTCGAGACCTGGGCCGGTCGGGATGAAGGTGGATAGGCTGGTGGCCGGGAGTCTAAGGGAGGGGAGAAACACCCCAAACACCCCAACACCGTTGCAGAGCTGGGTGGGGAGCATGAGGGACACTCATCTGAGCCCCTGAGGGTCAGTGGGCCCAAGGGTGCACAGGGCCAGGGTGGGGACGGGGACCCTCTGGCTGAGATGCCTGGACTTCGGCCCGGAAGTGCCTGGTCAGGGCGGCAACTGCAGCCGAGTCTGCTGGGGGGGGGCGCGCGGTGAGCTGTCCTCGGCAACCTCGGCCCTGCATGGCCAGCACTGGGCTCTGCTCCTCCTGGCCGGGGTGGGCCTGGGGGCCGGATCGGCCCTGCGAGGTGGGCCTGGGTGAGGTCAGGGACTCTGCTGAGTGTGGCCGCCTTCACGCCCGCAGGCATCAGGCCCTGGATTGAGGGCTTCACTGTAAAGTTCTCTAACGAACTATCACAACTCTGTGAGGCCGGTCCATGTTAAAGTTCGGGAAACTGAGTCACACGGTCAGGGTGGAAAACAGCAGAGGCAGGACGGGGTCCAGGCCACCCCAGGAGGTTCCGAGGACGTCCTTGAGTCCCGTGCACAACTCTGAGCTTCCAGGAGATGTCCCGGGGAAAGGGTCTGACCAGAACCTGAAGCCCCCTGCCACACAGGGTGGAGAGCAGGCAGCACGTGCCACGTGGCTCCCACGTGGACGCCCCTCCCCGCCTCTCCCTGCCCAGAGGCGCCTGGGGCCCCAGGCCGGGCCCTGCTGTTCCTGGCGGGAGGTTGGTGCCCAGAGCTCTTCTTGCTGGAAAGCTGCCCCGTCTGCAGCGGCTGGGAGCGATCCAGCGGGCCTCCCAGGTCGCCCTCCCTCGGCAGGGGGACTCTGGGTCGCACACACCTCCTGCAAACCCCTGTGTCTCTGCGGAGGACCTGCCTTCGGGAGACTAGAGCCGAGGGCAACCGGGAGCTGGCAGGCCGCTTCTGGCACGAGGAGCGCGTGTGTGAGCCCCCGTGCCGCAGACCCATTGTTCTCACCGTTAATCATCTAGTCGATACTCACACAGAGGCGGGCACGGGTGGCCCACTGTCGTTAACCCAGCACTCTGGGAGGCTCAGGCGGTGAGGATGTTTGAGCTCAGGGGAGTTTGAGACCAGGCCTGAGCAAGAGGGACCCCGTCTCTAATAAAAATAGAAATAATTAATTGGCACTTGAAATAATATAGAAAATGTTAGCCGGCTTGAAACCAGGGAGTTGGAGGCTGGCGTGAGCTAGGCGGATGCCACGCATGTCTAGCCTGGGTCACAGAGTAGACTCTGGTCTCAAAAAGAAAAAAAATACACACGGGTATAACATACGCGGGCTCGAGCGCCGGTGCTTACTCTCTCCTCTTCTCCTCCGGGTGACGGGCGGGCAAGCTCCTCCGGCGGGAGTTGTGGGCCTCCCCGTCCCTCCTTGCCTTGAGCGGGCAGCCGCGGTCCCTCTGCAGGGCTCAGGAACCACCCTCTGCCCCCACGATGGATGGGACACCCCCTCAGGGCAAGCCCTGTCAGCGGCCTCAGGCAGGTCCGGAGTAGGCCCCCGGGCCTCAGCCTCCACCTGCATTGGGGCAGAGGCGTCACCTCGGCCGACCAGGCTGTCTTGGGACGGCCAAAGGCCCAGCGTCCGGTCCGTTTTTGCTGCCCTCGCCAGATAAGAATGATATGCAATGGGCAAGGAATGACACCTCTGCCACAGGCTTGTCGAGATTGTGGACAAGCCAGGAGCACTTGTGCTCGGGGAAAGGCAGCAGCCGCTGGGCCACCGCCGTGTTGTTGATTGCCATTTCCTATTGAAATGGTTCGGAAAAAAAAAAAAAACACAGGCGATCCAGCGGGCGGGGCTGGGCTGCGGCTGTGCGGCTGCGCCGGGACTACAGGGCCATGGTCATGCCGGGCGCCGCTGGTCATGGACAGCTCTTGCCGCAGTCGCCTCCTCTGGCCTGCAGTTGTGGGACAGGCAGGACGCGGCAACCTGGCTTGTGGGCCACTGGCTCACCCCTCCCAGTCCCAGGGCTGCCCGCAGGTCGGCCCAGGCTGGCACACAGCCCAGTCCTTGACTGTCGCCCTCTGCTTCTCTTGCCTGGGCTCACTGACCCCACCCCTCGTGTCCTCTGCCCTCCTGCAACCAGGACTGACCCCCACCCCCCAGACGCCTCCTGAACACGCCCGGACAGCTCTCCTTTGCCCGGCGGCTCTGTCCTCCTTGCCGGTCCCCCCAGGCAGCAGCGGCGCCAGCCCACGCTGGTGGACAGGGACGCGGCCCACCCAGCTGGGCAGTTCCTCGGCAGGCTCCTAGGACCGGGCCGGGCCGTGCCGCCGTCAGTGGACCATGTGGCCTGGCCACGGACACCTTAGGGACAGGGCACGGTCATGGGCCCTGCCCGGTCCCTCCCCAGCTCTCACGGGCCTCCACAGAAGACCACTTCCAGGACCAGCACCCTGTTTCTGCGCCAGGGCAGAGCGATGGCCCAGACCCTGGCCTCGGCCTTCCAGCTGCCCCTCTGGCCTCCTCTCCCACGAGGGCCTGCCTGCCCCTCCCTTGTCCTCCTGAGCAGTCCGTGACGGCCCGAGGTCCACCCATAGCCTTCCCGCTCTCTGCCGTCGTCTTCCTGCCAACGTCTCCTCTTGTGTCCGCGCTGGGTCCCACTCCCGCACTCCCTCTGCGCGGTCCCTGGCGTTCCCAGGCCCCTTTCCTCTGCACCCAGGAGGTATCCGTCTCTGTCACACCGGCCCCAGGTCACAGGCGGGCCTCAGCCACCACCGCCTCTGCTTCTTCCAGTGTGAGACTGGGGAAGAGCCAGCATTTGGGGCCAGTGCCCAGCAGGGAGAGCTGCGGACAGGGTCCACTCTGGCCCTGGCTGTACCCGCTGAGATGCGACAGTGAGATTCTCATGTGTGGGGAGCTGGCTGCTGGCTTCAGCTTGGGCGTGTCATCTGGACCTGGGGGCTGGTGCCCTCCCGCTTCCCAGCATGGCAGGCGCGGCGTCCCGTGGGGGCCAAACCGGCCCTTCCCTGCTGTCCCCGTGAGGGTCTGCTGGGGAATCTGGGAAGGCCTGGCGAGTGGGGGCGGAGCCAGGCTGTGGGACCCACAGGTGATCTCTGAGGCCCTGGCCTCACCTGCTGCTGGCCCCCTAGGCAGCCTTGCCCCGGCCCTGTGCCTTGCGAGACAGTCTGGGGGACGAGCGGCACCCACCACGGCCTCCGGCGTG